TATATATATATATATATATATATATATATATACATCCATTGAAATAGAAATTCATATTCGTTGGAAACAATACATAATTTATTTTACATTAATATGTATGAAATTTTCGTTTATTTAATACTAAAACTTGAAAATTAATCTATTTCATCACACTGTTTTTTTTAAATTTTATTTCGGAAGGAAATTTGAATAAATTCATTGCTTGTGATACCAAACAAAACAAAATTAGACTAAAGGATCATAAATATCACATGCAGTGAATATTATGAACAGAGAGGTAGATTTCATTTTGTAACTATGGAAAATAATTTGGCAATTAATACCAATTTGAGTAATCACTATTAACAAATGAAATTCAGCAATCATTTAGAAAGAGCTAATTTGTTGATTATCCTTTGAAAATTAATGACTGAATATTTTTCAGATGTAATGTTTACTCATTCAAATTAATTATCTTTGTCTAACTTGTTATCGCACTACTATGTTTTTCTACCAATTTACAAAAAATACAGCTTAATGCATGGATAATTCTGATTAAACAATGATAATATAGGCAGCTGATACCATACTGACGTGGAACAATACTGAGATGGTCATCTACTTATTGGTGGTTATTTCCACTGACACTTGTCAGAAAATGATGGCTTTTCATACATAAAACAATCAAAACAAAGTAGTATGGATGGGAAGGAGAAAAAATATCCTTAGGGACGTAACAGTCAAGAATTCATTTCACTAAGAAAATTTAGTCGCTTACTGTAATGAATTATGAGCTTGGAAATAGTACTAGGCATAAAAAATATGAGTTTTATTTAGTGATAAATTAGCTAAACAAATAGCAACCGTACTTGTTGCATGGGTAAAACCCATTACATTGCTGGGCAGTTCAAAATAACGCAATTAGAAATGCACGAAATCTTTCCGCTAAACTATCTAAAAAAACTTTGCTGTATTCATTCATTTTCCGGAATTAACTACGTCCATGATTCATTTGAAACTCGAATTAAAATTTGTATAGCAATTGCTCACGCTTCAAATTTGACTTTAGCTATGTCATATGAATCTGATTCACGCAATCATCTACGCATACAAGCATATGTCGCACAAGGCGACAGAATTTTGAAAAAAAAAATTACATCAAAGATTAAAAGTTTTGTTGATAAGTTTAGAATGAAAAAAAGAAACTGGCATTCATTATTTGGTAATTACGCAAACACATTTTTCAACATTACTTTCAACGCTTGTAACTGCATTCTGCGAATGTGGTAGATAATTGTTTTCATAAAATATTTACGAAAATTTGAATAAATCACAAAAATAGCTAAAACAATTTCTTAAATCAGACAAAAACAATTAATTGATTAAGATTAGAAAATATCAGTAGAAAATCTTAGCCAATATAAAAAGTAATGATAGTAATTAAAAAATTATCAAAGACAATAATGTAACAGTGACAAAAAAACTAATCATGACAATAATATTGCCATTATTTATTATTATTGGCGCAACTTATAATAATAACAATATTATTATTATTATCATTATTATTATTATTATATTGTTATAAATTATTGTTAAACATTTATATTATTAATTATCATCATAATTACCAAGGATGTAATTTTTATTATTAAAAAGTTAACGATAACAATGGTAATAAAAGCAATAGCAATAGAAATATTTTTTCGCCAAATAAATTAAAAATAAAAACTTAGTGAGCAATTTGATAAATTTCTTTATACTAAGTAAATTAACAATTGTTAAGGTTCCAGAAATTTTCTAATCTAATCGTTAAACAGATCAGTTAAATCTTTGATCAATCATTACACATCGAAATCAATCACTTAAATAAGCTGACCAGAATAAAGCAATTTGTACTGCAAAATAAAATCAATTTCATGATTATTTTCGATATTAAAAAATAACACATTTATTAGTTCTATAATTTTTCCTATTTTCTTCACCTCTGCTCACTACTGTCTTATTATCATTTTCGCTTTTATTTTTTACTAAAAGTGATTTTCTACTTACTAAAAATAATAATCGCAAAGAAAGTGTAAAATAAAAAGATAAAAGCAAGTAAAAAAGCAAAAAATATCATCACTACTTGCAATGACCATCTAAAATTATCACAGTAGCAAAACATTCCTAAATACAAACTTCTTTGCAGCATTGCTAAGACAGAACGTATTACTAAACAAGTATTCTCTCGTTTCTTCTTTTAGCAATTATTTAAATTTCTATCTTTTTAAAGTCATTATTTGATTTGCATAGTACTGCTTTTCCATTATAACGCCTTATTTTTATATTATGAACTGATATCAAAAAATAAACTGATCCAGTTTACATAATGAATATAAAAATGGTAGAATGATAAAATAAGTGTGAGTAGTTTTATTATTGTACAAAAATGTCTTTATTTGTATTAGCACATTAAAATACTATTAAATAATTGATATACAAAAATTAACATTTTTACCTTATTTCATTTTCCTACTCTTTGATTAGTCTTTAGTGAGTATTTAACAAGAATGAAGATATGTTTAGCGAGCAGATTACAGAATTTCCGTCTGTTTCTATTTATGAATATAATTATTCAATTGGCTTTAATCATATAAATTTCAAATATTAATTTTTCAACGTTTAATACTCAGATTGCTTAGAGACTAAAATTTCAAATGCCTTCAACACTAATGCTTGCTTTAAATGGAAATTTAATTTGTTATTAATGATATAATTCCTTTTAGTTTCAAAGTAAAATGCCATTTTTCAATGTTTTAGTTGGTGAAAAATGTAAGCATTCATTATTGAAAATTGCTGTATAAGCTTAAGTTAAATAGATTACAAAGACTATTATTTAAATGAAAAATGCATAGTACAAAGATTTCATGCATTACTTAACATAAAAGTGTTAATATTATTTTAGAAATGTAACTTATGGAAATAAAATTAAAAAAAAACAACTTTTCATCAGTTATATTCTTGAAAATAACTTAGATGTTAGCAGTAAAAACTGCTTCTAATAATGATATGTTACTGAGCATTATTAAGCGCATGTTATCAATATATATTAATAATATCAATACAGTGATTTGACAGATGGAAAAATACCATAACTTCTATAGCAAACATCAAAAAATACTGTAATCGTCAAGTTTTCTATTCCTTACTCAAGAATCATATTTAAATGTATGTGATAAATGAAACATAAAACGTAATTGTTATATTTATTATTTTTTACAATAATATTGCATTTTTTACTAACAAAATACGTAATTAGTCATGCACAAATTTGTGGAACTAAATGTAATTTTAAAAAAATTTTAAATATTTTTAATTGAGATCATATGAGAATAACAAGAATTTAGTAATGTTTTATATATTATAGACTTATGATTAGCTGATTTTTACACTTTTTGGTAATTTTTGTGAGATATAGGGGACTTCAATTGATGGCACACATTTCTGTGTTCCGCATCATTTCCATAACGAATCTCAAGAAGAAGTAATTCGTTTATTTTGTTCGAAATTCAAGCAAAAAGATTTACTTGTATTACACACTAATTTCAATTGCATATTATACCAAAAAAAAAAGATTTCTCTGAAATGTGCTGAAATTGGCCCAAACATATTGAGAAATAAATTTATTTTTGCATAAAAATACTGCAAGAATGGAAAAAAATAATGCAAAATTGAATTCCATGCTGATTGGCTTACAAATTTAATCAGTTTATTATGCTTGAGTATTAACTAAAGAAAATTTAAAATGAATGAGAACAAAATGAGTCAGTCAATTATGAGTTTTTGGTTAATTAATAATTAACTTCCAAATAAGCTATAGTCATTTGCTTATGCAAAAGAACTAGAAGTAAGTACAGACTTACTTTGCTAGATGCCATATCTGATACGGATCGATGCGTTTGAATTGTCTCCAACTGGGCCAAGCACCAATCCAACTCATCCAAAGTATCTTGGCCACATTGCATGACATCATCTGGTAAAATTGTACTATGAAGTGGCGGTCGTTTTGGTATTGGCCTTGGGCGATTTTCATCTGGTGGAATGTTAGCTATAAGCACCAAATTACTACGCACATTCCGTAAACTTGCTAGAATTTGTGCAAATGGCGTAACAATAAGATCTTCTCCGTGCCTGAAATCAGTAATTTTATATATTTATCAAAATTAAATCTAGATAGTTGAAATTTAAAGTTAATATGGTGAAGATTTGGATTTCCATATAATACATCCCATGTTTACAACATTTTCTTGTAAATTAATTTGCATATTAATAATTTTAAAAACATTAAATTTTTTTTCCTGCAAATTTTTACGTCCATTCTTCATGCACCACAGCTGCAAATTGAATGAAGAATATGAGTGCTTACAATTATTGTTGTCAATGCTGCATCCACAAGTGAATTGAATTCAGTGCAGTTTATTCTGGTGTTTACAGAATTTCTTAGCTCATGTGATGCTTGATAGTTTTATGCGAAATAATCAAAGAAAAAGAATTTTCATTTCGATTGTTTTTCAGCTTATTCACCTTCACATCCCAATCTCATCTTATTCCATTTCATTTCATTCCATTCCATTCCAGTCCATTCTATTCTATTCTATTTTATTCTGTTCTGTTCTATTGTATTCTATTTCATTCCATTCCATTCCATCTTATTCCATCCAATTCCATTCCATTCCATCCTATTCCATCCAATTCCATTCCTTTCATATTCCAATGCACTTCTTTTATATTCATTCCATAAAAATTTGTTTCCTTCTTTGCATAATTTTTGCAGAGCAAGTAACTATTTACCATTTCTCTCCATCACTTAAAAAGCTAGACTACTAAATCTTCTATTCATGTTTCATCTCTTTAACTGAGTAATGAGTTCAAAAAATAAATAATTGGAAAAAAAACGAAATTCTACCTCATTTTATTCAAGATATTCTGTTATTGAAATATCTAGATTATTCATACTAGAAATAAATTTTATTATTTTTGCTAAACTTAAATTATACAAAGTACAGTAAAATACAAATCAAAACTTCGATATTAAAAATAAAACAAAGCATTTTCACTCAGAAAAATGCAAATTTAGAAATTTTATCCACAAAAGACAACTCATACTTCTATTGAACTAATTTATTTGTAAAATAACGCGAAATAGCAACCAATTAGCTAAGAAAATGCCTACAATCTACAATATCTTTCCTTGTAACAAGAAAATACATGAACATGACTGCGCAATATATTCAGTGCCATTTTATTTTACTCCTTCAGAAGCAATCAAAATTTGATGAGTGTGAGAAGTGAGTTGTAATTGCTCTAAACTCACTGCTATAAATATTTGGATATTATCGATTTAATTTCTTAAACTGAAAATCAAATTTACAAAACTACATGTATTGATAATGTACACAAATAGGTAAGCAAAGTACGTGAATATTTTTTGTCATTTTTATGCTTAAAATCTCTTCCCCATATAACCACTGCTAAAGCTACACAAGCCTTTGTAAGTTTTAGCAATGCATGCATCTTTTATCATAATAAATTAATACATATTGTTCAATATATTAATCATATTTATCTGCTCCATTACCATTATTTTGGATCAATTATACTGTATAATATTAAAAACAAACCGCTACTTTCTTTGCCTGAACGATATTATTTTTATAGTTTTAGCCAGTAAGTCCTAGTAGAAACCTAATAGAATAATTTTCTTGTGGCAAGTACTTGTCATCCATAACTTTAAGAATTCATTCCTCCTTTGCATGATACTTTATTTTCATATTACATTTGCACATTATTTTTTGATGCTTCATTTTGAATTTAACTTGCTAACAATTTCTAAGCATAAATTTTATGCAAGCAATGATAAATGATCTATTATTAGTTGCAAAGACATGCTTTGATAGCACCGTATTAGATTTTTGCATAGTATCCACAACTACTGTATATTTTAACAATGCAAAGTAAAGTACTGCGATTGAAATTGTAGTTAATGGAATGAACACATGACCATAAAACAAATTCTGAAGCAAAAATAATTTACTGAGAACTATTTTAAGTTTTAAGTGGAGATTAACTCACTTCTGATAAACTGTTTCTATCATATATTAATTAATGTCGATATTTTTTCTATCTAATATCATTACTATTCACGTAAAAAAGTGAATGGTTTTCAATTTGAAAAACAAAATTCTATTTTCACTTTGTTTTATCACTTCTAAACACAAATGAATGTTTATCACTACTAACTCTTTTTGCGTTCATAACGGGATCTAGTTTTAGTCTACTATATAGGCAAAACTGATAGTCAATTTTAGCATTCCGATTCATATATTTTAGTTAAATCCTGTTCTAAATGATTACTTTTCGATGAAAAAAAAACTTAAAACCCAAATGCAAAAAAGCCTTTTTCTTGTCTGCTTTCTTTCCATTTAACCAATTCATATTTAAAAGAGTAAATGAATTGTCAAAAAATTATCAAAAAAAAGACAGAATACAAGCTTCTTAAATGGTAGTAGCATTTTTGAGATTCGTCAGAGCGAATGATTTTCATCTTCGTCAAAAATGGAGATTTCTGATGTTTGAGTGATTTTTGATGCTTCAATGTTTCAATAACTCTATGCAATAAACTAGCAATTACTGCTGAAAAATTGTACGCTCATTCCTCAAGAACGGATATGAAAAGAAAACTGAGAATAAAGAAGTAAAGAAAAAGGGAATAAGAGCAATACTTTATGCAGTAAATTGTTTTTTCCAAAAGCACAAAGCTCGAAAAAAAACAAAAATGGATATATTTGCAGCTTTAATGGAAAAAAAATCCTTTTTTCTTAATTAAAAATTTTATTTCCACAAAAGTATGCAAAATAATTTAATAGAAGGAAGCAATTTCCTAAACTGTGTAAAATAAGTTGGGAAGGTTTCATTTAATTTGCCTTTTGAATATTAAAAGATAACAATTCCTGTTTCTAAATAAAAACAATAATGAAAAGCAATGTCACAAATTGGCAAAAAATACTATTATTTCTCATAATTACAAAAACTGATATCATGAATTGAAAGTTATTGCTTTGTTCATTAATTTAATCCCGTTTTAATCATCGAGTATGGAAATATTTCAGGATAATTTAAAAAACAATGTTTTCTAAATTGTGTCGAATAACGCAATATAAAGCAAGCCCGTAAGTTGGAAAAGATTTTTTTTATTCATTGTTTTAACAATTAATTTTGAATCAAATTGCCTAAATTGAAAATGTAGTCAAAAACTAAAACTTTAAATACATAAATGAAATAGTTCAAATACCTTAACTAATGAATCATAGCTATCAAATATGAAAAAGTGTATCATAAATATAAAAAACGATGAAAAATATGTAGTCTATTTTAATCAAATAAATAATAACAAAAAAATAAGTAAAATAAACTTGAAAAAATTACAAAGTATGACTTCACATGTCACTGACAAACTTTTCTGTCACCAATTCATAGTTTCTGAATTTTTGATGCTTTAAAGTTATTGAAGTAATAATAAATCAGAAAAATTTTGATGCTCTATTCTATATAGTGGCAAATGAGTGAAATACCACTAATGAAATATTCTCACAATATATATTTGAACAAATATTTACTAAAATTTCTGAAACTTTGCAAAATTTCAATAATAAACTGCATCTCATAGCATTTTTGACATGTTTACTGATTGAACACACTTTCACAAACCGATCATTATTAGTCATTTCTATCTTGAACACAACTTGTCTTTCACTTACTTCAGTGTAAACTCCATATAAAAAGTGATGTGGAAGCAAGACAGAAAAATTTGATTGTTCTGACAATGCAAAAACTGATAGCTCAAAAAATGCATACATAATTTATATTGAATGAGAATAATCCTATCTGAAATATAATATTTGCTTTAGTAAATTTAACTTAATTCACAATTGATTAAAATACATTTTACAATCATCTGACTCATTTCGATCACTGTGACTGATAATACATAAGCTATATTTTGGTAAAGGGAAAGTTAGATTGAAAATAAAATTCCACTCCAAATTTGAAGCATGAAATGCATGAATACTCTTTTCGTGTAATGACTAAACTCAGCTTTAAGTTGTTAAAAACTATTTCTGGTTTATTACTATCAACATTTTGCAAAAATAGTGCTGAAATAAAGCACGATCCTGTTATCTTCAAGATAGAGATTTGTTTGGAGCTGAGAAAGGCTTGTGCTAACATTATAGGGAACGTGTAATGACGGTAAACCATCTGGCAACCCTGCGAGGAAATGTTATATTATGACTACACTAGATGACACAGTGTGGCCCTGCGGTGCATCCATTTGGGACTGCGCAAAAAGTATGGTTTGAAAGCATTCCCGCACAAGCGAAGCCATTCTGTTTAGGAGGTCGTTGTGAATGAGAATGTTGGAATCAGAGTCGATACGCGAGTGAAAACTGCAATCGGAATAAAAGCGGATCGACCGGATATCATGATACATGCATGATAAGAAGCGACGTGAAGTAGTCCTGACTGAGGTCGGTATCATTAGTCGGGACAGGTTGACAGCAGTCGAGACCGAGTAAAAGCGG